GTGTGTGTGTGTGTGTGTGTGTGTGTGTGTGTGTGTGTGTGTGTGTGGGTATGTATGTTTGTGTGTGCATGTGTTGCAGCCTCAGGGTTGTACATTCTGTGGTTGAGACCCCAGTCTGTCAACATATTCCATCCTGTGTTATTTGATTAAGTGTCTCTGAGAACAACTCAGACTGTTTTCTGTTCTCACGACTCGTCTCCCATCAGAAAAAAAACCATAAATCTGTAAAGCTTCTAATCTGTTTTCCGTGTTTTAACTGCTCTTGTTGTCTCTACATTTATTTCCTTCAGACAAATTGGACAAAGCTTCACCAACGCAATATGAATTACAAGAAGCCCTTTTTTGTTGTGACAATTGATCATTTTAAAGGGGCAGGACTGACATTTGTTACATTTGTTTGGATCAATACTTTTGAAAGTCATCTCGGTTTCTGTCCACTCCTCTCCCCTGAGATGATTTATGCCTAATATATTGTTACTCCGTTGGTCCCAGCACAGAGGAACTTAGAGTGTGTTAGAGTGCATTAATCTTCTCTAATAAGTAGCCTCCTCCATCTCCCTGTCGTCCCAGTGAAGAAAAAGGCAACCAGAGCAGACTGCTCCTTTTCAATGAAAATCCATAAATCACAGCCCACGTCGAGACTGATTTACATTAAATACACTGCACTGCTTGAGTCCCCTTCTTCTGTTTGGCACAAATACAGACTGTTCTTTCCTCTACTTCTAAATTGCAACCACACCACAACATTATCATCATCTGCAGTTTGGTACTGTCATAGTTAAGAGTAGTCATCACGTGGCCCCAGTCTGTAGCCTTCAATGGCTGCTGAGGGGAAAAACTAGTGTTGGGACAATTTCCTAATTAACTCATTAAGTTAACTGACTGAAAAAAATCGATGTATTTTGATAACACTGAAACGTTAACGGCATTTATTAAGCAGAGATGTTAAACATTGACATTCATACATTGACATTTTACTTCCCCACATAGATGTATACAAAGGTCTTTCCAATGAAAAATAACCTGCTATATTTTATCATCACAACCTGAATTTTATGGTATTACTCATCACCAGGTGACGAATAAGCAGAGGCTTTCCAGACCATGACTTCTGATAAGCTCTTGTCTGTGTATGTACTAAAAGAAAACTACCCACTGACAATATATACTCAGTGCTGTATCTGATTGTCTGAGAGAGCGTCATGAGTGGATGCAAGCTCAGAGATGGCTCTCAATGATGCGTATATGTCCACTATTTAGGGAATGTGGATAAACAGTTGTTTGCAATGAACAGATGCTGATTTGTATGAAAGCTGATGGGACGGTGGAATGTGCTGCTGGTGCAGAGCTAACTGGTTGCACTACAATAAAATAACAAAGGTTGTTGTCGAGATGAGGTGCAACTGTAAGGCCCTTTTTGGGTCACAAACCAAACCTAAGTAACCTGAAGCAAAACATGGAAGCTCAGCCTGCTTCTGCACTGATAAACTAACCCTGCCCTCTGGGGGAAAATGCATGCTAATTTCATTGAAGCACAGAAAAACCTCGAGTAAGCAGTTGATCCAGAAACGGTGCCATTTCAGTGCCATTCTAACAGACTACAGTGCTTGCTACTAGCTGTTGGAGAGCTGTCTATGCTTTGATAGTTTGTTGTCTCCGTTTTTACACATTTTTCTTTTACAAAGAGAAACACTAAACTGTCATCCCTCACATTTAGACTTTCTTTTGTTCAGACCTGCATGTTGAAGAGGTCAAAACTTCAGCAATACTTTATTGTAAGACCAAGGCATTTCGGCTTGTGGATGACCCAGATGAAGGCCACAAGCCGAAATGCGTTGTCTTACAATAAAGTTGTTCTAATGAAGCCACCGACAGACCTCCTGACTATAGACTTCCTCACAAGACTGTTCTCTGAAGCTGGCGGCATTCCATTTGTCTAAGCCTCTCTTTGTCTCTGCACTTCTGCACTCTGCACTCTGTGCTTCTAGGATATTCCTGTTATTCAATGAAAATGTGAGAAACGATGCAAAAAGGCAACAAATAACCTTTTAAAGTTCGTCAGTCCTCACTGGCATGTACCTCCTTCTTCGTTGGTTTGTGGAATTGCCAGTTTTCAATAAATAAAGCTGACTTCATCCCTGCTTTACTTCAAAGTTATATGTTAAAACCCCAGCCCTACCTGAAACTGCTACCCTGGCTGAGCTTTCTCATATTTGTTTGCAAAATGTAGTGGAAGTTTAAAATTGATTGTGTAGTCATCTGTTCTCATCTTGCTGGACCTGTTGGGAGCTTTCGACACTGAAGATAAACGCTCAGAAAGAATATCATGTTCCTTAATGAAAGCAGAGGAGAGTGGCACTCAATGACAAGGAGGACATTAATTTACAGTAGAATAATTCTGTAAATAAAGTGCAAACCTCCTCTGTTGTCATAAGCCTTTACCACTGAGCCTCAGAATTCTACTGCCCACCTTTTCTGAACTGGGTATCTTGGGTGCAGCGCTACTTTGGATTGAGTCCAATCCAAGGAGTGTTGAAGCATCCTCTCCATTTCACTGGTGTATGCGCTGAGCATGATCCTGCCCTCTAGGAGAGATAAACTTCAATTACCTTCTAAATGCCAAAACACCAGTAACATGGTTAACTTTCATCAAAGGATTAGTGTGCTCAAGCCCTATGTGCTGCCTCTTGTCCTCTGTGTCACCCTCTTCCTAAAGGTCGATGTTTATTGTGTTAAAGTTTAGGGTATCCTATGTCTCGGGCTCTTCCTTTGCGCTGTACGGGAAGTCCTTTTGTCCTTTTGTAATATTTCTGTTGTCAGTACGTCCTGTAAACCTCATGAAAGCTACAGTGACAAATTCATGTTTATTTGTTTTGCCATACAGTAGGAAGTTCGGTTATTCTGGCTGAAAACACGGAAGGAAATGGACAAGCTGTACCCATGGAAGTCTATGTACTATCTAGTAGTAGACACGGAGTACCATTATATAAGACACTACGCAAAACATACGAATGAAAACATCAATAATATTAAATATTAAATAATCTATAATAATTAAGTATTAAATGTCTATTGAAGGTTTATTGGAGTTTTTATTTTATTACAATACCTTTTTTCTTCAAAATGTTTTCATCCAGTGACACTTTCATTTTACAATTTTTTTTATTTTTCAAGACAGATGTTCTGCACAAACTTCTTGCTCAACTTGAAAAATGTTCAGACAAGACTTTAAACTGCCAAGAGCAGTGTGTGTCTTTCCACTGGCTTAGTGTGCTACTGCGATCAGTCTGTACACACCAATATGGAGCTACAGTCGCCTCAATGGGTGCTTTTTATCTGGCATTTTGTATAGTTCATATGTAAACACTGTTAGGCTACAATTTCTTTCTCTTTCTTTATCTTCCTATACTGTAAATCTTCTGACCACACTTAAAGTTCATGTTTTGGTTTATTGTGAAGAGCTCCAAAATTTCTAACGTCTCATTCTCTTCCGAGGAGGAGTTGACAGACACAAGGCCTCCCCACTCGTCACTCTTCAGATTACATGTTGTAACTGACTTTTGTTTTGTTTTCAATTATCCCCCATGGTTTGCATTCACGTGACTTCTCTGTTGTCACATTACAGAATCCTTATTTGCAGTGTCAAGATAAAGAAACATTTTATTTATTGAAGTGTGCTGAAGTTACCAAACAAAGATTGCAGGAGTGCTGAGCTCAACACAGCCTGTTTACGTGATACGATAAAGCCACTTAAAGGTCACTGAGCCAAACAGAGTTGTTTACCCCGAGTGACCTGGGTATTTAAACTATTTAAAAAGACTGCCACCACAACATCCTGCCCCTCCGCTCATCAATAACCGTCCATATTTATGAATAGTTTCTTCACCCGATTTATGAATTGAGCGGATTTGTTGGATACAATAAGACAAAGGGTGAATCGGGGTTATTACCCCATATGTCTTACTTAAAGGAAGACAGAGGGCCTCCACTCAGTAGTGCTTGGTTAAAAACTTTATTAACAAAACAGAAGGCAGCAAAGCACAGCTCAAGCTCACAGCACAGCAGCCTACGTTACCCTTCTGTCCATCGCTAAAAGTGCCAAAAGAATAACATCCGTCATTGTTAGTTAAATATTAAAATAACTCAGCCACTCGGATACACTGCATAATATATAAATTTACTCTATAGACCTTTTGCGACTTTAACAGCACCTACAGGAGGAGGACAGCCTCGGTCATGCTCATTATCTTGCATTGTAGCGCCATCTAGTGACAGTGATGTAGTACAATCAGAAACACAGCAGCCCTGGGGTGGGGGGGCACTTTGTACCTTTTACAATCTGTAATACTTACAGTCTTCACCTTAAGGGTTTAGAAATCAGGGGATGGAAATATATAAGACGACAAGGCAATGGGGTTATAGTAAGAGTTTTAAAGGGGAATACCACCCATTTTAAGAACCCTAATACAATCTTCCTTAACCGCAGGACATGCTAATTAGTTCTTCGCAGCATGTGTCGCTCTTTCTTAAAGCTATAGAAGCTGATGTCTTTAGAATATCACACCCATTGAGGCTACAGTCTGTTGAACGTTCGTTGCATCCGAGGGTTTTATCTGAGATTTGGCTTCAGGAGAGAGTGGTACACGCTCACAAGGATCCATCGCACTCACCCACAAACGGTGCAGAAATTACGTGAATTCATCAAAGGGGCGAAGTGATTTCACACGTTTTGACCCCGTTATTTCAAATCATGTACACTTTACATCACCATTCTGCAAACCGAGCTGTTATTTTATAGATATAGAAGTGTATTTCCTTTGACTTCCATGCATTTTGGTGTTTGAAAATCTATCCAAAAATATTTTGAAAGTGAACATCAAATTGATTTATTTGCAGTCCGACTGGTTTGAAGTTTGTCCTACATCCACCTGAAGCAAGTTTAAGGAGTCTGCAAACTGATTTTCATATTTTGTGAATGCTCAGTACACTAGGAGTAATACCCTAATATTAAACCCCTAAAATATAAATACAACCCTGACAATGGAGCATGCATTCAACTAAACTGTAAAGTGTACATGTAATCACACACTTGTTCCTTTAAAATGGGTGGATTTCCTGTTACAGGGGATTAAGATGAATACAGTTTAGGCACAGTTAGTACCAACGCTAGATGACAGGTTCACTGTGTGGTCACCACCAGCACCTTACAGCTGGGTTGGTGTTGCAGTAGTTGATATTTTTTTGGGGGGGACAACAGATAGGATTCACTTCCTGCATGGCAACAAGTCATTTTCTCTACATTCTATTACAAAACAGCAGGACACTCAATAACATTCCATCTTTTACAATTATACATCTCATCCGGTGTGACATCTGTGGGTCAAGTTGTGTGTGTTTATTTCATTTTTCATTATTATTTCCAGCAGGCACAGTGGACATACTGCCCCCTGGTGGTGCAGGAGGATAGAACAGTGAAGAGGGTGGCAGGGTGCTGGTCCCCCCCCCCCCCACCTGTTGGGGAGGGGGGATTGGAGATGTTGGCAGATAGCAATCACCTAGACCCCCCACTGCAGGATGCTGGCATCTTTCCCGCCAGTGGAGATCAGGTGACTGTCGTCGTGCAGGAAGGCAACGTTGGTCACGTGACTGCTGTGGCCGCAGCACTCGTGGCTCGGAGCCTGGACGTGTCAGAGGGAGGACGGGGAAACAGTGAAGGGAGGAATTAGTCAGATGCTACCTGGTAACATTGAGTAGCTGTACGTAAACTCTTAACTTCACTGTAAATATCATGTCGGTCATCAAATATGACCATTTTGGGACTACAGATGAAAAATAGCCTTTTGGCTAACTCTGGCACATTTGCAGAAATGTTTTTATTAATGTGCACTGTCCCATTCAAATAAACCAATAAATAAATAAATAGTTAAAAACAACTTGTATGTCTACAACCAAATCTTTCAAAATGAGAGGTTAGCGTGTAGTGACAGTTCTTCCTCAGAATAATTTAATTAACAGTTTTGTTCGAATCTTGGCTGTGCAACAGTGATAATGTAAGATTCGTCTGACAGAATAAAAAAAAAAAAGAAAAACTGTAAAAATCACTGGAAATCAGTTTTCATGGAGCTTTAGTTTTAGTCACAAAATGTGTGTAAAATAAGTTCACTGCCAGGAGAGAGTTCCAACAAATATTTACAGCGTCTGAGCTTCTGCGCTAACGGCAGCCAGCTTGTCTGAAACGGACCATTAAGTTTACAGCTGAACTTGTAAAAGAAAAAAGAAAAAAGGAGAAGAAGAAGAAGAAGAAGAAGGTGTTTGAGAGCACAAAATAAACACCTGGCAGAAAACGGTGCGTATTATAAGTCTGGTGGTGATCGCACACTAAAGCCTTGTGGCTGAGTTTTTAGTCATTTCTGCTGAGCTGTCACTGTGTTCATTCACACTTAATCACTATGCGGGTGGAGAGGAACGGTGCGGCTGCTCGGCTCCGGAAGTGTAAAAAACAAAAGCAGAGCAGAGTTAATTTCAAAAGCATTCGAGGGATGAACTGTCAGAAAGCTTTCAGCTCGTAAATGTACGAAAGAAAAAAAGCAACGTGTGGACTGCAAACACTGAGTGAACACGACTGACCCTTGATTGAGAGCAGGGGAAGGAGAACAAGTGCACTTTGCCAAAGTCATCGGCGGAGGCCAGCAGGGATCCGTCATGTGACCTGCACACGGCGTTGATGTCAGTGCCGTCTGCTCCCTCCGGCCAGACTCCTGAGTTAGTGAAAGGGTGATAGAGACAAGATTCAAGGCAGGGACATGTCCCCGACAACAGAACCGTTTCTGTTAAACAGTACAAAGACTTTTACGTTGTCATTCAGAGCTTCCAATGTGCACATCTGCTTGGTGCAGCTTTATACTTTTTTGCTCTAACTGCCAGTTGCTCTGAGCATCAGCCAACTAACCCTAAAATGCACAGTATACAGTATAAGAGAGGTCAATTGATAATACAGCTGTTGACACAAAGGGAAAGCTCAGCGTGTTGGTCTCAGGTGGGTTCACAGACTTTACATGACACAAGGGCGGATAAAAGAATAACGACTTACCGAAGGTGTTGAAGCTCAGAGTGCAGGTGGAAGTGGCCCACTCCTGGTTGCGCACTGTGTCCATGCTGGTCACATGTTTACCACTGGATGCCTCCCCTATAGAAAAAAAGGGCATTACTGACTGACAGCTACAGTCTGTGGCTTTACCTCCAAGAGACCCACAGAGACACGTTTGTCTTTTTTTTAAACGTGGGCAGGGGAGATCTTTAGGGAAGGTAGCGGGCCAACCGTTTATGCCACATGCAAGTAGTGTACATCATCTAAAAGATGGGAACCTGAAGATTAATGAGATGCAGCTCAACAATGTGTGTCAAGTTGTTCTAGTCATAAATCACAAATATAGTGATGGCCATTCCCAGTTGTTGCAGCAATTTTTGAATTGATACAAAACAAAAACAAAAAAAGAATAAGATTACCACTTGAGAATTAATAAGAATGTTCAAAAATCCATCCAACATACCACACCAGAACACCAAGACCTCGAGGGACACCACAGAACAATCCAGGCTGTGATTTGTTATTTTAAACTTTTAACATTTGAAGATTTCTGCAAAATTTGTATTTTCCAGCAGTCGGATGGTGAACGCTTCTGTTCTGGAAACTGCTCAGAAACCCACTTATTGTCAATAAACCAAAGGAAAGCCATACCCCATCTGAATGTGCTAGGTCTAAGTTTGTGGTTTCAAAGTTTCATGATGCTGTGATTATCACAAAGGTCAAAACAACACATTTTATTCATTCTGTGAAACGGCCACTATGGGGACTAACATGCAAGCATACAATGCACGTTTTTGCCCAAAAAAAAAAGTGGAGCTAAATGATAGCTTCAAGCAGTTGTTCTTGAACTTTGGCACACAACGTTTTCTTCCGGATGTCAGAGGTTCATATTCATAAAGAAGAGAGGGTGTTGAGGGTCTGCAATGATTTTTGTTACTTGTTTCATGGCTGCCTCCTCCTCCATGCTCCGTTTGGGCTCACAATATCTCTTCCCTTTTACCTTCACAGCTGTTTTGTGAATACTGGCCAGCCTGTTTTTTCAGGTGCTCTGTAAGGCTGCCAAACCATGCTCTAAATCCATATCTTACGATGCCTTCCGGGGTTGCTAGATAGAACACGTGTGTTTTCAAAATGTCACCTCAACATTTTGTCTATCTTTGCAACACAAGTTTACATATTTGATCTGAAATTCTTATATCGGCAATACAGTGAAAGAGAAAGCCGAGTGTGTGCGAGGGAGGACCTACAGAAGAGGATCTCGTAGTCTCCTGAGTTGGTGACGAGGTGCTGGCTGTCTGCCGACCAGTCCAGATGGGTGACGAAGCTCGAGTGGCCCTGAGGAAAAAAGGGAGAGAAGTTTATGTGGCTTGAATGGAGATCACACCGAGCATGAAGCTTTCATTCTAAACACTCCATTTTGGAGAATAAAGTAATCCCTCACCCTCCAAAATGACCTATTTGTGTATCAATTACTCCCCCCGTGCTATACTTCAATTCTTGGAGAAAACTTTGTTTTTCCCGCACGAAGAATAAAAACAAATGAAGGACAAGTCTTGATGAATTGAAGAAAATGGGGGCTGCGTTTAACATCAGCAAAACTACATTAAAGCATCCAATTACAAATTCTCACACATCTTGTGCAGGATAATCAAGGTGTCATTTATCTTTTTTTTATTCTTCATGTGAGAAAAACAAAGTTTCAAAGAATTCAAAGTAACACAGAGTGAGTAATTGATACAAATGGTCATTTTGAGGGGTGAAGTATTCCTTTAAAACAGAATGGAAGGAGAGCTTCTATTCATCTAACTGTGGAGGGAAACTTTTATTTCAGTAGTTAAAGAAAAGTTGAACAAAACTAACACTTATTTATCGTTCAACTCCACCTAAATAATAGTCACCAAAAACTGCTGCTATTGCTTTAAGTAAACAACAAATATATCTTTAAAGCTTTCAGACTACTGAGATATGAAGTGAGAGGGAATGTACTGTGTACTCACAGTGCATTTCCCTGCGCGGCTGTACTTTCGGCCGTTCTCCGTCACAGCGTAGATGTAAACAAAGTTGTCGTGAGAAGCGACAGCCAGGAAGTTACCGTCTGGAGGCACAAGCAGCCCAGAGTTAACGGGTTAGTACCGCGCTGAAACACGACGTGTTACACCAGCCGTGTCCAATGCCTGATGAGGTTTTACCTGGAGAGTACTTGATGTTGGAAATGATCTCATTGCCGTCTGTGTGCATAGAAACGAGATCCTGGGTGTCAGTGTCCAGCACCAACCATCTGCAACACACACACACACACACACACACACACACACACACACACACACA